ATAAGCATATAATCTGCATTTAAAATCTGATGTACATTCATTGATATAAAAGGTATGAAAAGCACTACCTTTAAAGTTAACTGAACCAATGCTAAATGTGAGACAGAATTACAAGTGGGCCAATAGTGCTTCAAAATGCTACTGACAAAGGAATTACTGCAATGTTTTAAAGTAAATCAGTCAAGTGACATGAACTTACTATTTGGAATATTGTTCCTCCTCAGGGTGGGTATGTAATTCCAGTAGATTATAATTATGAGTTACATAAGATTCAGCAGAAGGTTATAAAGATATATTTAAAATATTAATCACCATTCAGAAATAAGACTTTTAAAACATCAGGATAATTAGTTCCATTAAGGTTACATCTCCATTGATACTGCTTTAGCTCTTGGTAACTTAAGTCCATCAGCTGATCATTACGTTGTGTCACAAGCAAATGTGTTAATTAGGCTTATTCATAACTTACTTTGTTTCTGAGCTGATCAGCATAAGGAATTATGCCTGCATTTTTCATTCCTACTCTAGGGTAAAATCTCCAGAGCTACAAGAGACAGGCTGGTGGTGGGGAGGCACTGAAGTCAGTGAGCCCAGTTCCCTACTGCATAGTATCTGTGCAGTCCTGGTCTGTGAAACAGGTCTGGCAAACTGCTATGTCTTGGCTGGAAGGTAAGTTGCCTTATGACATGATTTCACACTCCTTTTCCAGGAAGAAAGTTACTTCACAGGGCTAAATCCATTCAAATACCAAGTCTGAGGTTACTACTCACTAGGAAAAAATTACATGCCCTATACAATATTTTTTAAAAATCTCCTATACTTTGAGAATCAAATTTCATTAATTGGATCTTATTGCATCTCTTTGAATCATTACAGACCACATCCTGATATAAGATCATCATTATATACATTACTGCATCAGTAATGGATATGTCTATATATATAAGTCTAATGCTGGTGAGAAATCTAGTCAAAATAAATTTATGGGTAGAGTTTTGGATTGAGAAAAATGCCTGTAACTAACTCAAGTTAGGACGAATTTGATTAGGATTACATATTGTAAAACCTCTATTCCAGGTAGTTAAGTCAAACCAAGTCAGAACCTGAAAGCTGTTCTGTACCCTTGGTTCATGGAGTCTATCAGAGAGATTTCTTAAGAAACAGCAGTACCACTTTGCACTCTATACTACTAGCCTTACAAGTTCTGTTTTCCTATACTAGTTTCACTGCTATTTTCATGTAATACAAGCAAAGCACCTCAAATAACATCCTGTTAACATAAATATGCTTGAATTTAATTTCATATAGAAGAACAAATTTAGAGTAAATCTTGAATTAACTGATATTCTGGGATAGTGCTATTTCAAGAGGTCCAACAGGGATAGTATTTTGAAATACAGACCCACACTGTGTGAAAACCACATGCCTTTTTCTCTTCCTACATTCAGGCAGCTCTGACTCTCACAGAATCAAGCAGATACACCGCGAGCAGAACAACAGACGTGATGACACAACGGGATGCAATGCAAGTATCATTTGCTAAGCAGACTCCCAAAGTCTTGTAGGCAAGCTCCCCTGAGTGAGGAGTGCGGTCTGCCACTGTACCATCACTTGCACTACCAGGTAAAAAGAAACTCAGTTTCATTCTTTCCAGACCTGGGCAACTCAACCTTAAGAACTAATCATACACCCGAAGACACCCTCAGGAGTAAGATATCCTTGGGGGATTTTTTTGGTCCACTGGAAGTTAACTGTCCTACCAACAGAAAATTCACTTTCCTCTGGCCCCATTCCCACACACACTCCCTACAGCTATTTCCACCCACACTTCAGCTCTTTTTAACTGTGTTTAAAAAGCTGAGACAGAGAGAAAAGTGCTGCTGCTGCTGCTAGTGCTCCTCCTCCTCCTCAGGTGGGCGGGTTGGTAGCTGGTCAGTTTTCTGCAGCATTTCTCATTGCTGGATGTGTGGGAGGCCGAGAGCAGGAAGGGAAGGAAGCGGTCCTCTTAGGAAGGGAGGCATATCAAAGCAAGTGGGAAGCAAATAGCCCCTTCCCACCTGCACATGTGCAATTACATGCAAATGAAAAACTAACACAATAGATCTGCAATCAGAGCTTTCCCAGCTGTGGTCCTAAAAGATACCAAACAGCTTGGGTCTCAAAGCCAAATTCAGGGGTGACCTGATCGCTAGGAAGATAGCATTTTTCACCCACTAAGAAGAACAGACCCGTGGGGAGGGAAGGGGGAAGGGAAGAGGGCGTTCCTTACAGTTATGGTTTTGTACGTAGGTGGAGGGTGGTTTGAGGGGAGGAGTGACAGATTGCTTGTGGCAGCAGGGAAAAAAGATGTAGGAGGGTGTTTGCCCAGGGTCCTGTCTAACCTAGGGGGTACTGGCAGGGTGGATGCAGCGCGAGTGGTATGTCTAAGCTGGGGCGGTGGGAGGGGAGGAACCCACTGGTGGATGGACCTTGCTTGGAGCCTCTCTCCCAGCCTCATCAACACAGCAGCGTCTGCAGCAGCAGCACCCAGCCACCCCCACACTTTCCCTGGTGCCCTCTGAGGCCAAAAGAAAATGGAAGCTACTCCACTCACAGAGTTTCATTATGGATTTGCTTTCATCCTTTTCCAAACACTTCTAGTTCCCCACTGATAAGATGCAAATTAACTGGTTAAAAAAAAAAGGAAAAAAGAAAAAAAAGGGTTTTTTTTTCCCCTCTCACACACTTTCTTATTACAGGAGAAATTCACTACTGCATGCCATGAGCTGTGCCCTCCTCCTAAATCTATGACTTCAGATGTTTTATGGATGCATTATCTGAAAAGTCTCTGACCAAAAGCCCTGGGGAAGGTACTCTGTTCCCATGGGATTACTCATGTTACAGACAAAAGCAGAAATTTGCTTCTCCATATTACGTATGTGTTTCAGTCCTTCACGGGCTGGCCTATTGTTTAAGAGTGGAGAAACAGATTAGTGTTCCACTTATTTTAAGTCTACTTCTACTCTCACTGACATCAATGGAAGAAGACTCTCCACTGCAGACCTGAGCCTTTAGTACTAGGTGTCCATGTTGGTGCAAGGAAATGTGAACATGTGTCATCTGTGCAGGTGTTTTACAGTATTGTCAACTGAGCCTGGACTGAGAAAAAACAATTTCAGGATTGCTTGTCAGTACAGTAATAACCAGTTAGCAGGGATGAACTGGAAATTTTCCAATTCTATTCCTCAAGCCTTCACAGACTCATTTTCCCTTACCTTCATACACTGCAAGGATGCACTTACTACCCACACAGAGAGAAATTAGATGCTAGCTCTTAGAGCAGCAGAGGAAAAGATTAAATTTACAGCAAGCCTGACACGGGAGCATGGGACATGATGAAGTACTTGTACCATTTTATTACCTGGTCTTGGTGAAATATATTGAGAGCTCTCAGATGAAAGTGAGAGGTACAAATTAATGATTAATTAGGACTATATAGGTGGCATACAGAATGCAGCTGAGCTGCTCTTGGAATCCTTCTTGGGAGCAGGAGCTCCCACATCCTGAAGTTATATGTTTTTCTGGAAAAGAAACCAAAAAACCCCAGAAACAAAACCCAAAAACATCTGCTCAACTCTAAAGTCCTCCTACAGTCTGCAATTTCTCTTTCCAAACCTTCTGAACACACTGCCAGGAAATTTCTTCAAGGGGACGAATTACAACCTGCCTATCCTTCTGGCTATTACACTTATACTCCCCGAGTTCCTGGCTTGGTTACTAGGGTTGCTGGTCACCCCTAGTATATCCAATCTCCTGCAGCCCTCTTTGCTAACAGTAGTATCATCCATAAACTCGCAGGTTAAAGGTCATCTCATCCCACTTATTCTCATGTGACTCCATTATTTTCACTCTTTTTCCTATTTCTACTTATAGAAATCTTTTATTTACTTTTTAGAAAGCATTTTCACTTTGATATTCCACTGCAAAATATGGGGTGTGCAGGAGGACTATTAAAAACCAGGATGATATCTGAGTTACTTTGTGGACTGGCTTGCAGGCACTAAATGGCTGTGAGAAAATTGCAGTTTTCTAACACCTACTTCCCCCGTATCCCCAAAAATCTATAGGTAAATTCAAGCTATCACCAGCATGTTTTAAAATTAAGAACACTAGGCTCAAGGAAGATGGCTCTTCTGTCACCACCCCTTCTTCTTGAAACCAATTTAAAAAAAGAGGGGGGGGGGTTAAAGAAAACATTAAGTACAAATTCAGTGTCAGCACCATGGAAAGAAATCACTAGCTGTCGCAAGACAATGCTTGCTGTTACTTCATTGTTTACAAATGAGGAGGCCCCGCTCTTGTTCTAAATCAGACATACAGCTGGAAGACAACAAAGAAAGGACCTACACCATTATTTATACTGAAGCCAGGGGGGAAATAGATTAAAATCTGCATAAGTAAAAGATGAATCAGACCAGTGACTTCTATTTCGGACTCAAGAAACAGACATCCTATGTAATCATGTCCTGATCACAGCCTTGTCTAGGTGCACCATGTGCAGGTGGAATTTATTACGAGATTTCCAGCGGTTTCAAACAGCCTCCACCTGCTCTTACCCAAGGTTAGCTTCCACACACTGATTTCTTAATTTCCGCAAAAAGTTCATCCTACAGAAATGTTCTGTTCGTGTTTGTCTGTGAAATGTATAGACTTTCAGACATAGGATATGAAGTACAAAAATGTTATCCACTTATCAAACTCCTCATAATTTGGTTATGCCTGGATGAGAGATACAGAGTTATCCTTAAAAATAATTTTAAAAATATAAATCTAAGTAAGGGTTCAGATTTGGCAGCTGTGATAATTTGGTGTCATTTAGACTGGTTTAGATTAAATTGCATGGTACTTGCTGTAAAACAGCATACAGGGCTGTACACATTCAAGATGACACTAATAGGCTGCATCTTTAATGATCATATAATCTGTAGATAAAAGTTTGAACAGTCTGGATTGCCTAATGAATTCTGCAATTAATTAGTTTGCAGTAGGCAGTCTCCCAATGCCTGCAAAAGCACCTTACATCCTGTTGTCAGTTGTTTTTTGTTCACAGTGTACAAGACTGAAAACTGAGACTGCATAATACAGAAACATTCTGTGTCTTTTTTTGTGCCTATTTAGTTTGATTTTTTACAACCAAATTTAATACACCCTGAGAGTTACTGCAACGGAAATGTCAATACAGATGATGCTGCTATAAGCAGGGGCCGAATCATTTCTTGAAATGAAGAGCAAGGTTGCCCTCTGGGGACTTCTCCAGAAGTGCTTCCAAGAGCTGATTTTTTTGTTGCAGCAAAAAATTTTGCTACAACGTTTTAACCTTACTGTTTTTAAATACGGATGTGAATCAAGACAGCCAGTGCTAAGAACTTGCTACATTGAGAGGTGATGAAGCTACATTTCTACCTAATGCACTGTACTGTCATTTACTCCACAGTTCACTTTTCAGTATCACTCTCATGGCGGTATGTGTCAGCCTAAAAATATCCATGGAATGGTCTGATTTAGTTACTGAAATAAAAGTGAATTTAGTACTATGGATTCCTAGCGTGATGGTCATAAATTCTCAAGTGCCTTAATCTTCTTTTTTTAAGTCAATTTTCCCAGTTGCTCTTTCTGAGCCTATTTATGCTGAACACATGCTGTGTTAGAGCTCACAATTCTGTCTGTAGGTACTGTCGGGGCTAAGCTAGCTGCTTAATCTCTGTATTTACCTTCTAGGATAACCAGGTTTTGGTGGGATGTTACATTAGAGCAGCTCCTTAATCCCAGCTCACCAATCTGTGTGTCAGTAGGTAAGAGGACAGCAGAGGTGTGGCTGCAGGTGTAAAGGATGAGGAGAAACCTGGAGGTCAGAAATTAAGAAACCCGTTTTGCCGCTGAAAACAATACATCCTCAAAACGCAGTTTCAGTCCACGAAGTTCGGCTCTGAAGGTAACCCGGCAATGCCGGCTTTCTCCACCTTGGGCACCAACCACCAGGGTTTATGTTATTGCTACATACGGCACCACGGCCTTCACCGACGAAGGAACAGCCTCACCTCATGTCCTCACACCTCCCGGCCTAATCCAGGACGGGGAGCAGCACTCCTTCAGCCCAGATCCTGTCAAGGTAAGGAAAACCCTTCATAAAACTACCGAGCAAGGGGCCTGTAGCCTTGCTTACTGAACCCCATGCCGACGCCCTGCTGACCTTACGCCTTTGTTAGTCGCTATGTTGACTGGATAAAGGGCTGTTCGAGGG